ATCACTCATTAATCGATGAACATCACCTATATTACTGTATGATATACCGAAATACGGATGTCTCTCAGGCAGTGTTTTTTGATCTATTGAGAGACACTTTTCAAAGTTTTCAAGTGCCTTAGAGTAATCTTTCATACTGCGATAGACTCTTCCATACCAGCTGTATGTGAAACCAAAATCTGCATTACCTTCTTCAAATGTTTTCTGTTGAATTTTAAAAGCACTCTGAAGAGCCTTAAGAGCTGCCGTATAATCACCCATTCGCTCGTAACACACAGCAAAACTCAAATGACTAGTAGCCAAATGGGGATGATTTGGAGGAAGAGCTATTTCTTTGATTTTAAGTGATTTTTCGTAAAATTCAAGTGCTTTCGAGTAGTCACCCATGTTGTCATACATTAGACCGATGTTGTTGTATAAAGTAGCCAAATCGGGATGATTTGCAGGCAGAGCTGTTTCTCTTATTTTACGTGAGTTTTCGTAAAATTCAAGTGCTTTCGAGTAGTCGCCCATGTTCTTATACACTTGACCGATGTTGTTGTATGAAGTAGCCAAATCGGGATGATTTGGTGACAGAGCTATTTCGCAGATTTTATGTGATTTTTCGTAAAATTCAAGTGCTTTCGAGTAGTCACCCATGGTGTTATACACGCTACCGATGTTGTTGTATGAAGCAGCCAAATCGGGATGATTTGGAGGCAGAGCTATTTCTTTGATTTTATGTGATTTTTCGTACAATTGAAGTGCTTTCGAATAGTCACCCATGGCCTTATACGCTTGACCGATGTTGTCGTATGAAGTAGCCAATGAGGGATGATTTGGAGGAAGAGCATTTTCATAGATTTGATGTGATTTTTCGTAAAATTCAAGTGCTTTCGAGTAGTCACCCATGTCGTTATACACTCCACCGATGTTGTTGTAAGAAGTAGCCGAATCGGGATGATTTGGAGGTAGAGCTATTTTTGTGATTTCGAGATCTTTTTCGTAAAATTCAAGTGCTTTCGAGTAGTTACCCATGTTGTTATACACTAGACCGATGTTGTTGTATGAAGTTGCCAAATCGGGATGATTTGCAGGCAGAGCAATTTCTTTGATTTTATGTGCTTTTTCGTAAAATTCAAGTGCTTTCGAGTAGTTACCCATGTTGTTATACACATTACCGATGTTGTTGTATGAAGTAGCCAATGAGGGATGATTTGGAGGTAGAGCTGTTTCTCTTATTTTATGTGAGTTTTCGTAAAATTCAAGTGCTTTCGAGTAGTCACCCATGTTGTTATACACTAGGCCGATGTTGTTGTATGAAGTAGCCAAATGGGGATGATTCGGAGGCAGAGCTATTTCGTAGATTTTATGTGATTTTTCGTAAAATTCAAGTGCTTTCGAGTAGTCACCCATGTTGTTATACAAATTACCGATGTTGTTGTATGAAATAGCCAAATCGGGATGATTTGGAGGAGGAGCTTTTTCGAGTATTTTATGTGCTTTTTCGTAAAATTCAAGTGCTTTCGAGTAGTCACCCATGGTGTTATACGCGACACCGATGTTGTTGTGGCAACTAGACAATGACGGATGATCTTCAGGAAGAGTTTTTCGTTTGATCTCGAGGAACTTTTCGTAAAAAGTAATCTCTTTTTCATATTGACCCTGTTGGGATTTTACTCTACCTAGCTCGTGATAAATATGTGCTCTTTCA